AATCTACAGTCCAGTACTTATACAACAAACCAATAATATACAGTCCAGTACTTACACCACAAACCAATAATCTACAGTCCAGTACTTATACAACAAACCAATAATATACAGTCCAGTACTTACACACCAAACCAATAATCTACAGTCCAGTACTTACACACCTAACCAATAATCTACAGTCCAGTACTTAAACAACAAACCAATAATCTACAGTCCAGTACTTACACAACAAACCAATAATCTACAGTCCAGTACTTACACCACAAACCAATAATCTACAGTCCATCCAGTACTTACACAACAAACCAATAATATACAGTCCAGTACTTACACAACAAATAAATAACCTACAGTCCAGTACTTACACCACAAACCAAGTACTGGACTGCAGATTATTGGTTTGGTGTGTAAGTACTGGACTGTAGATTATTGGTTTGGTGTGTAAGTACTGGACTGTAGATTATTGGTTTGGTGTGTAAGTACTGGACTGTAGATTATTACACACCAAACCAATAATCTACAGTCCAGTACTTACACACCAAACCAATAATCTACAGTCCAGTACTTATACACCTAACCAATAACCTACAGTCCAGTACTTACACAACAAGTTAATAATCTACAGTCCAGTACTTACACACCAAACCAATAATCTACAGTCCAGTACTTACACACAAACCAATAATCTACAGTCCAGTACTTACACAACAAGTTAATAATCTACAGTCCAGTACTTACACACCAAACCAATAATCTACAGTCCAGTACTTACACCACAAACCAATAATCTACAGTCCAGTACTTACACACCAAACCAATAATCTACAGTCCATCCAGTACTTACACAACAAGTTAATAATCTACAGTCCAGTACTTACACAACAAATTAATAATCTACAGTCCAGTACTTACACAACAAACCAATAATCTACAGTCCAGTACTTACACAACAAACCAATAATCTACAGTTCAGTACTTACACAACAAGCCAATAATCTACAGTCCAGTACTAATACAACAAACCAATAATCTACAGTCCATTACTTACACACCAAACCAATAATCTACAGTCCAGTACTTACACCACAAACCAATAATCTACAGTCCAGTACTTACACACCAAACCAATAATCTACAGTTCAGTACTTACACACCAAATCAATAATCTACAGTCCAGTACTTACACACCAAACCAATAATCTACAGTCCATCCAGTACTTACACAACAAGTTAATAATCTACAGTCCAGTACTTACACAACAAATTAATAATCTACAGTCCAGTACTTAAACAACAAACCAATAATCTACAGTCCAGTACTCACACAACAAGCCAATAATCTACAGTCCAGAACTTACACCACAAACCAATAATCTACAGTCCAATACTTACACCACAAACCAATAATCTACAGTCCGTCCAGTACTTACACCACAAACCAATAATCTACAGTCCGTCCAGTACTTACACAACAAACCAATAATATACAGTCCAGTACTTACACAACAAACCAATAATCTACAGTCCGTCCAGTACTTACACAACAAACCAATAATATACAGTCCAGTACTTACACAACAAACCAATAATCTACAGTCCGTCCAGTACTTACACAACAAACCAATAATGTACAGTCCAGTACTTACACAACAAACCAATAACCTACAGTCCAATACTTACACACCAAACCAATAATCTACAGTCCAGTACATACACAACAAACCAATAATGTTAAGTCTAGTTTCTAATGTAACTAGTAGGACAGGGGTCTTTAAGACCACATGCTGCATCTATGAACTTTTTTAACAGTTGTCCCTAATATTTTTTCTCTAAATTACATTTACAGATTTAGAGCAGTTTTTATAATAATTTTCGAAACAAATGTTGTTTAATCTTGAAAGACGATTATATTTTTGCTGCATCTCGTGATTTGGTGCAGGGTAATCATTCTTGAAACGAGGACACTCATTGTAGTTATGGTGCAGGTGAATTTTGTGTTCTTGGTGCAAAGGCACTTGTTCCATCTCTGCCATTTTGAAGCACGATAATCTTCATGTTTTTTTTATTGTTAATATATAATCTGTGAGCCTCGTGGCCCAGACCCTTCTATCAATCTCACTCTGTCTTTCTTGAATAATTTTTGTAGGAAGACAGAACCAGTATCACTTTCTACAAATGTTCCAGTCTTTACCGGTATGCACGTATCT